TAAAAAATTTAATTTTTAAAATGTGAAATGTATTTACATAAAATTCATTTATTTATTCAATTGGTTTATTACGAAATACCTGAGAGTTGATAGAGTGGCGAAATTGAGCAGAAAAAAATTTGGAAACTTATGCTAATTTTTTTCTTTGCTCATTTTAAACGAGTAAAGCAAAGTAAAGTGCGCTAAATGCGCGTAGGACGTATATCTAATAAGGCAGTCTTTACATACACAAATGTTGGAGAACAAAGTGAAAATTTCCCGGTTGGGCATTGAAAGGTTGACCTTTTTATATCATAGTTGCAGTTGCAATTGTAGTTGTGGCCAAGACAAGCGTTAGCAAATGGACATAATTTCAAAGAGTGTTCTGCTTGCCGTTTATGTCATTATTTATTTTTTCAAATTTAATTCTTTACGCACTTTATTTAGAAATGCCTGCAAACATTACTCGGGTTCTTTCCGTCCTGAACCTTAATGTAGCACTTTTCTATGTAAATCAAAAATAGTACGTAACTGGTTTACTAATTAATAAGAGAAGATTGTTCCATGTACAGGGCGTTTTTTTTAAATGAAGAGAACTTTTTCCGAAAAGCGCATTCGGTTTGATGGCTCCCTAGATCGGACGTGTAAAAGACACGTTATTCCAGCAAAGCATTTGGATGCGTAGTGTATATCGGTTCGCGTATAAGAATTACATAAGCAATACTTCCCCAAATTTACACATTCTGACTGCAGAAAAATACCGCCATACCAAATACACCCTACGCCAGTCAAAGTTTGTAGAAAAAGAAGGATTGCTTGCAGGAAACCTTTTTCTTTACGTTGAAGAGAAAAATAACTGCTTTTTCTAGTGCTGGTTTTAATCCAAGTCAACTGCGAGGTTGTTCATGTTATTGCATTATCCGATGCACATTCGTGTCAAATTGAAAATCGACTTGCTCGGACAATAATATCCTGGATTTCAAGAGAGAAAGCACATATTACTCTGTCCAAACAGAAAGATTAATTCAATATTTTCTTTTTTTTAATTCTATTTATTATTCCAAATCTATTTTGTCGCCTTTAAAGCAATCCTCGAACTCAAATAATATTCCTTATTAACCGTTTGGCACGGCGGAAGGAGTCCTTAGTGCGCGACACCACGATAATCGGAGAAAATTGTTGACATCACTTTGAGTTTTGTGCGACTTTGCCAGGATTTTTCCAGTCTTGGCCCATATTTTGCACTATATTCGCTTAGTTGTGTAGAGGTCGTATGCGTAGTCAGAAATTATCTCCTCAAGCACGTTATAACAATCGGAATGAATACTTTTCATGGCGTATAAAACCGAACGCAGTTAAAACGCTAGTGACATTTATTATGTGAAATTTGTCACAGATATCTGTCAGAGTGCTACCAAATTAGAAAACTATATTTCTGCTATTCGATATGTCCGCGCAATTTAATTTGCATATTGGCCTCACCTTGTGATCACAGTATTAGAAAACTGATGGCTTTCAAAACGAAATAAACAATGACCGAAAGACCAAAGATGTGTTACCTACAACGTAGCTATTTTATTATACGTACCAATAACGTTGCTACAAACTCGTTTAAAGGGCTATCAAGATCCCTTTTTAGGAACTAATAATATTCTGTGTTATTGGGAAAAACTTTGAGTCCTCATCCTTAACATTGAGTTCAATCGACGGCACGAGCGTTACCATCTTTACAAATAACCATCAAGTGACATTCTAATGTAATAAAATTCAACCTCGTTTTCGTGTTTTCATATGCAAACAATTAGAACCACCTCTTTGTTAAAGAAAGAAATGTCTCAAAGTAAAGTCTAAAAAAAGTAGTTTCCAGTGAAAGTGAGTGCACGTTGCCAAAACGAGTCATATGCATTGAATTTCGATTTATTTATTTTGATTATAAATTTTCATATATATTTCATACCCATCACCGACGGGTGAGATTGTTTACACCCAGCCGAACGCTTTAGAGATTTTACAAACTCTATATGTATTTGTTGACTGGCATCAATCTCTAGACTGATTTAAGCATGTCCGCCCATTTGCCTATCGATAGGTCCAATGACTTTGTTTAAACATTGCCCTGATCGCGAATACGAAACTATCACTTCCGAATTTGGCAAACACATTGGGAGCTCTTGCACGCACGTTGGTACTGAAAATGGGAATATCGGTCAAGGTAGACTGCACAACATAATCTAAGAAAAATAAATCCAGTTTCGTTTTTTGTTCATTACTTGTAAGCCGTAACAGATATAACGGTAAAAATTTGCACATATATTTTATAAGAGTTTCTGTGACTTCTATAGGCAACGCCTACAAAAAGTTATAAGTAATTTTTTAATATCTTCGATGTTTTCTGCTTATTACTCATAAAATAAGCAAAACAAAATATTAAAAATTATTCCGTACTATTCCTCCTCCTATGTGATCGGTCAAGGATAAGTCTACCGCATATGATTTTCTTACTTGTTTAGTTTTCTTTGTACCAATAGTTTCCTTTGCAAAATGCATCTAAATTGTTTAAGTTATTTGA